CTGATGAATGAAAACTGAGTTACAAAAATTGTGAGGTAATATATGAAGAAATATTCCTGGAATAAGTAAAGTCATCAATATCAATAGATCATATAAAACCTGAGAGACGAATTTAGGGTAGTGCAAAAATACATATGTAATCATAGCCCAGAACCAAACCTAGGACATGTCTATGATATTAAGCCATCTCTTCATCTGAAAGTGCCTAACAAGGCTAGTAAATAGAATCAATACATGGATGACTTTGATCCGGCCAGCTGTGATACAAACAGAGGGACAAAAGCTCTTATACTATCAATGGGACAATGAGACAGGTCTCATGAAAATGTACAATCCTTACTCCATGAGGGACACACTTCAGAGTGCGAGAAGAAACACGAAACTGTAAAACAGGCCAGCAGCAAGGAAATGGCGGCCAAGACATTCATCAAACCATCAGGAATGATTACAAGCAGGTACATGGCTCAATTCAGAAGAGATTTCTGGAAAGGAAAATTCTCCTCATCATACTCAAGGCATAACTAAAAACATCAATGGCTCTCTTGTCAAGGAAGCGTGCAAATTGAATCCTCCCTGCAACAACAAGCAAAACTCAAGGCCTGGATGAGCACACTGCTGAATTCTTACAAATGGGTCAGGAAGAAACTAGTCTGAAGCCTGCATAAGACCAGAAAACAGCAGTCAGAAAGACAAAATCCTTCAAAATGCCTTCCATCATCACCTTCATATCAAAACTGGAAAGAAGGACAACATCACAACAAATATACACCAATATTCCTTATGAACACAAGTGCAAAATCCTCCAGAAGACATCACATTCTCCACCTGAACATACAACAGAAGGTGGATTCAGCAGATCCAGGTGGGATCTCTAAATTTCACGCAGGGATGCCTAAACTTTACAAATTCCCAGAATTTGAAACACATTGCAGTATGCATAGTTACTCCTCATGAGAAGTAGACAAAAAAAGGAACATTTCAATCTACCTTCTCAATATGGTAGTAGACTACAATGCCATGATACCCTTAGAGCAGAAAGCTAAGGTTGTATCTGCTATCAGACTTCTCCACCTTGCCGAGACATTAGAGAAAAAACATTTGAACAGTAAAATGGGGCAGACAGAAGTGGGAAAATTGTTGGGCATTGATTTCTCTCATAACAACTGCATTATACAGGATATTATCACCAAAAATTATATATTTCATGCCACTTTCAGCCAATGCTTACCACACATGTCTCTGTGCTCCTCAGATGCTGAGCAGGGCTCACTCTACTGTGTGCTCGAGGATACTGCACACAAGGAACTGTAGCAGTGTGTCTCTACTGAGAACCTGAAATACTATAGTCAAGGCTGTCTTGGTGCAACTATGCCCTCCCCACACCTTGTTTTCTGAGACACATTGCTTCCTCTCAGTGACCCTGGCCTTGCCCTTAACTTAGCAAAGCTGTACATGGATGAGAGTGAATGCATCACTAGACCCGTGATACGGCTTCACCATCTGAATTGACTGGACAATAATGAGTGCCTGAAGCCAGGCTCTCTCCACAGAAGAGAGTTATGCACACTCTGACTCTTGCCTTGCAGAATTTGTGAAGGAAAATTGAAAAGGATGAGCTCCTTTGGCACTTGATTCTTCTCCAGTTACTCCAGCAGTAGAAATGAATGAGCTGGAGTATCAGATCATTCCATTCCACTTTCCCAAAATTATCTCGAGGCTGAAAGAACGAGTACAACATCCACACTGGGATGCACCTGTCCACTCCAGTCTCCGCAGAATCTGTGAATTAGTCAGATAGGGCAGGCGTAACATAGAAGCAGGCAGGGCAGGAGGGGCAGCTTGCCTGAGCCAAGGATCATGATGGACCCATTCCCTGCCCCCTCACAGCTTTGGCTGATACCTAACCACAATGCTCAACAACCAGTGTCCTCCTTCTTACTTTGACAAAGGACGTACTCATCTGATTTCTGTAAGAAGTGTCACATCTGTAACAAGTATGGAAGGGGTTACTTTGTCACTTAGCACTCTTGAGCACTCAGCATGAATTTCAGCCTACTCCCTGGCAATATGCCATTTTGTTGCATCCCAAAAGCACGCTGAGAATGAAACACATAAGCCATGAAGCACAGGTAGTGATGCTTTTATTTGCAACATTATGCAAGCATATTCTTTGCAGCATTCACCCACTGGCTACATTTTATGAAATGCTTCCACAGAGGAAATGCAAAGGTGTAATAGCAGTTTTCATGGTCATTTTGTAGTGTGAGTGGGGTCATTTTGGAAATGAGTAAGAGGGCAAGCAAAAGATGGCTGTGCCATCATTCTCCTGGGGATGTGTGGATTGCCTACAAGGAAAGAGGGATGAGATGATTGCTGATGGGACCAGAATTTCACGTATGTGAGGGGAAACCCAGATGGATGTGGCAAAATTGGGTAAGAATGAGTGCAGGGTGGCATCCTTGTGTAGTTCTGCAAATAAGAATGTGTGGTTGAAACAACCTTCATGACAGAGGCTCTAGAATGAGGATGTTGACCAGATGAGACCAACTGACTTGATGTCAACTGAAGAGGAGTCTCAAGTGTGAGTGTGTCCTTGATGGCTGATGGTATGGCAGAAGATGATGATGGAGCTGATGAGGCTCCTCTTATTGCGTCAGTTCTAGGAGCCAAGGTGTCAGCTACAGATGAACTGCATCTGCGAGGTGATGCACCAAAGCATGCATAGTTTTGAGGATTGATGTTGTTCCGTGGAACAACACTTGCATTTCCATTACTCTTTGCTAAAATTTCCCCTGCTCGATGTGACTCCTTGGGCAGTTTTTGAAGTGAGGATTCCAGGGCCTGGTATTTCTTTTTAATGCCCACTCTTCTTAGAATATGTCGTAAGAGCTGAGGACAGCCTTGTTTGAAATGTGGGTGATGGAAGAACTGCACCTGCAACAAAATTAAACATGCATCAGCAATATTTCTAGCCAGGAGGCAAGTGGCCACATGGCAAAAACAAACTCTACTAACTAGAGAATGAATGGACACATGGCAGCTACACTTGGCTTTCCTACTGATGTGGAATCATGGTTAAAATTATGTGGCTGAATATATGCATAAGTACAGGTGTTTCATCCTCTGAAAAACAGACATGCCCTGGCAAGGAGCTAAGATATTTGGTAACTGGAAAATTTTGCCAAACAATCTGTATCACCATTTCATAAGCCAGGTCTTGAATGTTCTGAGTGTAATATTGGTATTTCACCATGTGCTCATAAAGCCTTTTTTTTTAATTTTCCAAAATCTCATTACACCAACTATGCACACACACCCAGTCTCTCTCTCTCTCTCACACACACACACACATATTGGATAGGGAGAACTAGAGAGAAAGAGAAAATGAAAGAAAGAGAGATTATTCTGATATTGCTATTGGTATGAGTTTCCTATGCTTAGTTCATTGAAGCACAGTTTGGTTCAAGATTGCTAAAATGCCAACAAAGGAAAGGAAAAGTGGAGATTCCAGCACACAGCACACCAACATGACTGTCTTCTTGCAGTGTACAGACAAAATGCACAGTGCTATTGCACTTGTTAATAATAACCTCTCCCACAACAACTGCAACAACCAAATACTAAATATCCCATGTTAAATTTGAAAGCATCCTTCAGGCCTCCTACTCTGGATCCTTTACAAGAATTTGGCACTATCAAAACACATTATATATTCACTTGGAATCCAAGGGATGGAAATCTTCATCACCTTGCTTGTCCCTAAGACATCACAACATTCAGGCATAAAGTGGAATAGGGAAGCCGATCTCGGAAAAGTTGACTGCATCTTCCTGAATCCATAAAGGTTAAGCTGTCGAACAAAGCTCTTCATGTTGCACGTTTCAAAGATGCTGAAATGACCTTTCATCTCTAAAACTTCTGTCTGAAATTGCTCTACATCTATCACGAAGGAGGTTCCTCCTTCATCGCACCAAATCGATTTGAATTCAGGGCTTTCCACTATTTGCCAAAGTTTTCTAGGAAACCCCAGAACATGATGGTTATTCTGTTCCTGATGAGTGAATCCATCACTAGGAGAAGACGGTCTGTCCAGCAAGGACTGCTGGGATAAAAGTTTAAAGGCTTCTTCTTCAATCACAGACCTTAGGTGAGTATCCTCAAGCAATAGCTGTTCACTTTCTGGAGCTTCCACGACAATGTCTGGGCTCAGACACCGCCACTCACAGCACATCTTCAAACCTGGAATGAGTTCTGTCTTCAGTTCCTCGAAGCAACTTGATTGCTGTCCCTTGGTTCTGCTGAAGGATTTGAAGACTGTTGTTCCTCTGAATGCTTGAGAAGAAATGTCCAGACTAACCACTCTCTCCCTCCACCACATCTCATACAGAACCATTGTGACATCACTATATGCTGTCTTCTACCTCAGCAGCACATCTCACCTTTGACCCCCACTTGCTTCCCAACATGCCACTGACACACAGCAGCTGGGAAACTGGGACACATGGGCCATGCTAAAGTATAGCCACAATTTATATTAAAAAAATCTAAAAATGCATAGGAGTAACAAGACGTAAGTCAAAGAAATGAATCGCAAGAATGGCATCAGCCTGGCTTTCTTGCCGATGAATTAGGATAAAGGCTTCATTCAATCTAACTGTGTAAATGATTGTGGGTGGGAAGCAGAGCTGTCAGGATTAGAACCAGTGACCATGTGGGATCCCCCGAGCATTTAAGATGAGGACTCTAGCCACTAGCCCACCACGCTGGGACGACCAAACGTATTTTCTCCTCAGCACTTTATTGCCAAACTTTCCATGGTGACATGGCAAGGAAAGACCCTCAATTTTAGAGATGTGCGCCTAGTCTACATTCACGGGACATCAAACAAGACCTACAGCCGATGACACATTCAAACCAAATGCCATGTCAGAAACGAGGGACATAATGCTGTAACTGAAAGAATGAAATTGCACACAGGATTGGTAGTTTTCAATAAAAGCTCACTTATCAATGAAGCCAAAATAATAGCGTCCCTAAGAAACAGAAGTGGATAGAAACATCAAAACCCAGCAGCTATACAAAAGCTGTTTATAGATATACTGAATAAGGACACAGATATACTGAATAATCACTGGCATCATAAGCTAATGCTGATGTAGATTATCTTTAAGTATAGGTACGAGGGTCATAGGAAGGAAAGAGTAGGAATGTTATGGACGAAGGTGAAGACCACATTGTTTCACTTCAATGATATAGCAGAGTGCAGGTGATGTATGTTCTGCAACCCCAAGAGGCATATTGGCTCAATTGGTTGAACAACACCAAATACGTGTTTGCTGTGCACAAAAAGAAAAGTGCACACAACTGAAAGCGAAGTAGAGAGTAGATCTCCTATGCTCACTTGAAGGGAAATGAGCAGGGGTAAGTAGCCTCTGTAGCCAAAGGCAAAACAGACTGCCATACAACAATCTCCTAGCAGAAATATTGAATTAATGACAAACCCATTCATGGTTTTTAGGTGACCTACGTAATTGCATCTGCATCAATCTATGCTGCCTTTGGACAACTACCACAATGGTGACGTTCCAGGCATCTGCTGCACCTGAAAACCCAATCGTGTAGATTGAGACACTGTGGGAAAACTTAGATGTGCCAAAGAGAATATGTGAAGCTCAACGATGCAGATTACAAAATTCTACCCACTACGAATAACAGATGTTAAATTATTGGCAATGCCAATAAGCCAACTCATGCATATTCAGCCAGAGCACATGCGCTTTGACTTTTCTCAATGCAGTGGCTGTCCAGAAGATACTGTCCACCACTCCTTTGTCTCAGTTGATGGCAGCGCAGCAGGAGTTGCATTTCGTCACTGGTGTGTAGTAATAATAAATACTTTAGAAGACACGGTATGGATGCCTATGTGTTTGGATACATATTTGCATGTGTCTTCTTCTTATTTATTTCACCTGCCAGATGACTTTAAATTTAAGCATTGCTTAATTTAAACAACAACGCCTTCATGAATCCTTTTCCGCTTAATTGAAAAAGAAATGAAGTCTTCTGCTGCTCTCAAGGACATGCCAGACGTGCCTTTTTCCATGCATTTTCTTTCAAGAAAATTTAGGGTGAAAAAATACCCAGTTACAACACAAAGCTTCTACAATGCAAATGGTCCAGAGCCATGAGTTCACAAACATGCTCTGAATGAACGAAGGGGATTATTACCCAATGATCAGAAAGCTTTACATGGGGTAGCACATGTTGCCAAATGAATGACACAACTGCAGAAACCTTCTATTTTGTGAAATAACCAGTGGTGCTTTCACAATATTCCTGAAAACTCTGAACTCCCATACAGCTGATTCAGGCTAATGCATCACACTGACTTGCTTTACAATATAATCCTCGACTCGAGGCAGTGACTTAAAATAGCCACCAATTTTACGTGTGTGTGTGTGTGTGTGTTTGGATTCTATTTAAATTGTGTCCCCTAAATACGTATATGTATGAAAGTATGTGTAGATGCAAATATTCTCTGGCACAAAACAAGACTGGGGTCTTGAAAATATCAAAACCTACCAGCTTCTCAGAGCAGCATGGATTGAAACTGGAGACAGTTAAGTACAAACAGAAAATATCTCAGCATACAAACCTCATGCTGATGAATGAAAACTGAGTTACAAAAATTGTGAGGTAATATATGAAGAAATATTCCTGGAATAAGTAAAGTCATCAATATCAATAGATCATATAAAACCTGAGAGACGAATTTAGGGTAGTGCAAAAATACATATGTAATCATAGCCCAGAACCAAACCTAGGACATGTCTATGATATTAAGCCATCTCTTCATCTGAAAGTGCCTAACAAGGCTAGCAAATAGAATCAATACATGGATGACTTTGATCCGGCCAGCTGTGATACAAACAGAGGGACAAAAGCTCTTATACTCTCAATGGGACAATGAGACAGGTCTCATGAAAATGTACAATCCTTACTCCATCAGGGACACACTTCAGAGTGTGAGAAGAAACACGAAACTGTAAAACAGGCAGCAGCAAGGAAATGGCGGCCAGACATTCATCAAACCATCAGGAATGATTACAAGCAGGTACATGGCTCAATTCAGAAGAGATTTCTGGAAAGGAAAATTCTCCTCATCATACTCAAGGCATAACTAAAAACATCAATGGCTCTCTTGTCAAGGAAGCGTGCAAATTGAATCCTCCCTGCAACAACAAGCAAAACTCAAGGCCTGGATGAGCACACTGCTGAATTCTTACAAATGGGTCAGGAAGAACTAGTCTGAAGCCTGCATAAGACCAGAAAACAGCAGTCAGAAAGACAAAATCCTTCAAAATGCCTTCCATCATCACCTTCATATCAAAACTGGAAAGAAGGACAACATCACAACAAATATACACCAATATTCCTTATGAACACAAGTGCAAAATCCTCCAGAAGACATCACATTCTCCACCTGAACATACAACAGAAGGTGGATTCAGCAGATCCAGGTGGGATCTCTAAATTTCACGCAGGGATGCCTAAACTTTACAAATTCCCAGAATATGAAACACATTGCAGTATGCATAGTTACTCCTCATGAGAAGTAGACAAAAAAAGGAACAGTTCAATCTACCTTCTCAATATGGTAGTAGACTACAATGCCATGATACCCTTAGAGCAGAAAGCTAAGGTTGTATCTGCTATCAGACTTCTCCACCTTGCCGAGACATTAGAGAAAAAACATTTGAACAGTAAAATGGGGCAGACAGAAGTGGGAAAATTGTTGGGCATTGATTTCTCTCATAACAACTGCATTATACAGGATATTATCACCAAAAATTATACATTTCATGCCACTTTCAGCCAATGCTTACCACACATGTCTCTGTGCTCCTCAGATGCTGAGCAGGGCTCACTCTACTGTGTGCTCGAGGATACTGCACACAAGGAACTGTAGCAGTGTGTCTCTACTGAGAACCTGAAATACTATAGTCAAGGCTGTCTTGGTGCAACTATGCCCTCCCCACACCTTGTTTTCTGAGACACATTGCTTCCTCTCAGTGACCCTGGCCTTGCCCTTAACTTAGCAAAGCTGTGCATGGATGAGAGTGAATGCATCACTAGACCCGTGATACGGCTTCACCATCTGAATTGACTGGACAATAATGAGTGCCTGAAGCCAGGCTCTCTCCACAGAAGAGAGTTATGCACACTCTGACTCTTGCCTTGCAGAATTTGTGAAGGAAAATTGAAAAGGATGAGCTCCTTTGGCACTTGATTCTTCTCCAGTTACTCCAGCAGTAGAAATGAATGAGCTGGAGTATCAGATCATTCCATTCCACTTTCCCAAAATTATCTCGAGGCTGAAAGAACGAGTACAACATCCACACTGGGATGCACCTGTCCACTCCAGTCTCCGCAGAATCTGTGAATTAGTCAGATAGGGCAGGCGTAACATAGAAGCAGGCAGGGCAGGAGGGGCAGCTTGCCTGAGCCAAGGATCATGATGGACCCATTCCCTGCCCCCTCACAGCTTTGGCTGATACCTAAGCACAATGCTCAACAACCAGTGTCCTCCTTCTTACTTTGACAAAGGACGTACTCATCTGATTTCTGTAAGAAGTGTCACATCTGTAACAAGTATGGAAGGGGTTACTTTGTCACTTAGCACTCTTGAGCACTCAGCATGAATTTCAGCTTACTCCCTGGCAATATGCCATTTTGTTGCATCCCAAAAGCACGCTGAGAATGAAACACATAAGCCATGAAGCACAGGTAGTGATGCTTTTATTTGCAACATTATGCAAGCATATTCTTTGCAGCATTCACCCACTGGCTACATTTTATGAAATGCTTCCACAGAGGAAATGCAAAGGTGTAATAGCAGTTTTCATGGTCATTTTGTAGTGTGAGTGGGGTCATTTTGGAAATGAGTAAGAGGGCAAGCAAAAGATGGCTGTGCCATCATTCTCCTGGGGATGTGTGGATTGCCTACAAGGAAAGAGGGATGAGATGATTGCTGATGGGACCAGAATTTCACGTATGTGAGGGGAAACCCAGATGGATGTGGCAAAATTGGGTAAGAATGAGTGCAGGGTGGCATCCTTGTGTAGTTCTGCAAATAAGAATGTGTGGTTGAAACAACCTTCATGACAGAGGCTCTAGAATGAGGATGTTGACCAGATGAGACCAACTGACTTGATGTCAACTGAAGAGGAGTCTCAAGTGTGAGTGTGTCCTTGATGGCTGATGGTATGGCAGAAGATGATGATGGAGCTGATGAGGCTCCTCTTATTGCGTCAGTTCTAGGAGCCAAGGTGTCAGCTACAGATGAACTGCATCTGCGAGGTGATGCACCAAAGCATGCATAGTTTTGAGGATTGATGTTGTTCCGTGGAACAACACTTGCATTTCCATTACTCTTTGCTAAAATTTCCCCTGCTCGATGTGACTCCTTGGGCAGTTTTTGAAGTGAGGATTCCAGGGCCTGATATTTCTTTTTAATGCCCACTCTTCTTAGAATATGTCGTAAGAGCTGAGGACAGCCTTGTTTGAAATGTGGGTGATGGAAGAACTGCACCTGCAACAAAATTAAACATGCATCAGCAATATTTCTAGCCAGGAGGCAAGTGGCCACGTGGCAAAAACAAACTCTACTAACTTGAGAATGAATGGACACATGGCAGCTACACTTGGCTTTCCTACTGATGTGGAATCATGGTTAAAATTATGTGGCTGAATATATGCATAAGTACAGGTGTTTCATCCTCTGAAAAACAGACATGCCCTGGCAAGGAGCTAAGATATTTGGTAACTGGAAAATTTTGCCAAACAATCTGTATCACCATTTCATAAGCCAGGTCTTGAATGTTCTGAGTGCAATATTGGTATTTCATCATGTGCTCATAAAGCCTTTTTTTTAATTTTCCAAAATCTCATTACACCAACTATGCACACACACACACAGTCTCTCTCTCTCTCTCACACACACACACACATATTGGATAGGGAGAACTAGAGAGAAAGAGAAAATGAAAGAAAGAGAGATTATTCTGATATTGCTATTGGTATGAGTTTCCTATGCTTAGTTCATTGAAGCACAGTTTGGTTCAAGATTGCTAAAATGCCAACAAAGGAAAGGAAAAGTGGAGATTCCAGCACACAGCACACCAACATGACTGTCTTCTTGCAGTGTACAGACAAAATGCACAGTGCTATTGCACTTGTTAATAATAACCTCTCCCACAACAACTGCAACAACCAAATACTAAATATCCCATGTTAAATTTGAAAGCATCCTTCAGGCCTCCTACTCTGGATCCTTTACAAGAATTTGGCACTATCAAAACACATTATATATTCACTTGGGATCCAAGGGATGGAAATCTTCATCACCTTGCTTGTCCCTGAGACATCACAACATTCAGGCATAAAGTGGAATAGGGAAGCCGATCTCGGAAAAGTTGACTGCATCTTCCTGAATCCATAAAGGTTAAGCTGTCGAACAAAGCTCTTCATGTTGCACGTTTCAAAGATGCTGAAATGACCTTTCATCTCTAAAACTTTTGTCTGAAATTGCTCTACATCTATCACGAAGGAGGTTCCTCCTTCATCGCACCAAATCGATTTGAATTCAGGGCTTTCCACTATTTGCCAAAGTTTTCTAGGAAACCCCAGAACATGATGGTTATTCTGTTCCTGATGAGTGAATCCATCACTAGGCGAAGACGGTCTGTCCAGCAAGGACTGCTGGGATAAAAGTTTAAAGGCTTCTTCTTCAATCACAGACCTTAGGTGAGTATCCTCAAGCAATAGCTGTTCACTTTCTGGAGCTTCCACGACAATGTCTGGGCTCAGACACCGCCACTCACAGCACATCTTCAAACCTGGAATGAGTTCTGTCTTCAGTTCCTCGAAGCGACTTGATTGCTGTCCCTTGGCTCTGCTGAAGAATTTGAAGACTGTTGTTCCTCTGAATGCTTGAGAAGAAATGTCCAGACTAACCACTCTCTCCCTCCACCACATCTCATACAGAACCATTGTGACATCACTATATGCTGTCTTCTACCTCAGCAGCACATCTCACCTTTGACCCCCACTTGCTTCCCAACATGCCACTGACACACAGCAGCTGGGAAACTGGGACACGTGGGCCATGCTAAAGTATAGCCACAGTTTATATTAAAAAAATCTGAAAATGCATAGAAGTAACAAGACGTAAGTCAAAGAAATGAATCGCAAGAATGGCATAAGCCTGGCTTTCTTACCGATGAATCAGGATAAAGGCTTCATTCAATCTAACTGTGTAAATGATTGTGGGTGGGAAGCAGAGCTGTCAGGATTAGAACCAGTGACCATGTGGGATCCCCCGAGCATTTAAGATGAGGACTCTAGCCACTAGCCCACCACGCTGGGACGACCAAATGTATTTTCTCCTCAGCACTTTATTGCCAAACTTTCCATGGTGACATGGCAAGGAAAGACCCTCAATTTTAGAGATGTGCGCCTAGTCTACATTCACGGGACATCAAACAAGACCTACAGCCGATGACACATTCAAACCAAATGCCATGTCAGAAACGAGGGACATAATGCTGTAACTGAAAGAATGAAATTGCACACAGGATTGGTAGTTTTCAATAAAAGCTCACTTATCAATGAAGCCAAAATAATAGCGTCCCTAACAAACAGAAGTGGTAGAAACATCAAAACCCAGCAGCTATACAAAAGCTGTTTATAGATATACTGAATAAGGACACAGATATACTGAATAATCACTGCCATCATAAGCTAATGCTGATGTAGATTATCTTTAAGTATAGGTACGAGGGTCATAGGAAGGAAAGAGTAGGAATGTTATGGACGAAGGTGAAGACCACATTGTTTCACTTCAATGATATAGCAGAGTGCAGGTGATGTATGTTCTGCAACCCCAAGAGGCATATTGGCTCAATTGGTTGAACAACACCAAATACGTGTTTGCTGTGCACAAAAAGAAAAGTGCACACAACTGAAAGCGAAGTAGAGAGTAGATCTCCTATGCTCACTTGAAGGGAAATGAGCAGGGGTAAGTAGCCTCTGTAGCCAAAGGCAAAACAGACTGCCATACAACAATCTTCTAGCAGAAATATTGAATTAATGACAAACCCATTCATGGTTTTTAGGTGACCTACGTAACTGCATCTGCATCAATCTATGCTGCCTTTGGACAACTACCACAATGGTGACGTTCCCGGCATCTGCTGCACCTGAAAACCCAATCGTGTAGATTGAGACACTGTGGAAGAACTTAGATGTGCCAAAGAGAATATGTGAAGCTCAACGATGCAGATTACAAAATTCTACCCACTACGAATAACAGATGTTAAATTATTGGCAATGCCAATAAGCCAACTCATGCATATTCAGCCAGAGCACATGCGCTTTGACTTTTCTCAATGCAGTGGCTGTCCAGAAGATACTGTCCACCATTCCTTTGTCTCAGTTGATGGCAGCGCAGCAGGAGTTGCATTTTGCCACTGGTGTGTAGTAATAATAAATACTTTAGAAGACACGGTATGGATGCCTATGTGTTTGGATACATATTTGCATGTGTCTTCTTCTTATTTATTTCACCTGCCAGATGACTTTAAATTTAAGCATTGCTTAATTTAAACAACAACGCCTTCATGAATCCTTTTCCGCTTAATTGAAAAAGAAATGAAGTCTTCTGCTGCTCTCAAGGACATGCCAGACGTGCCTTTTTCCATGCATTTTCTTTCAAGAAAATTTAGGGTGAAAAAATACCCAGTTACAACACAAAGCTTCTACAATGCAAATGGTCCAGAGCCATGAGTTCACAAACATGCTCTGAATGAACGAAGGGGATTATTACCCAATGATCAGAAAGCTTTACATGGGGTAGCACATGATGCCAAATGAATGACACAACTGCAGAAACCTTCTATTTTGTGAAATAACCAGTGGTTCTTTCGCAATATTCCTGAAAACTCTGAACTCCCATACAGCTGATTCAGGCTAATGCATCACACTGACTTGCTTTACAATATAATCATCGACTCGAGGCAGTGACTTAAAATAGCCACCAATTTTACATGTGTGTGTTTGTGTGTGTTTGGATTCTATTTAAATTGTGTCCCCTAAATACGTATATGTATGAAAGTATGTGTAGATGCAAATATTCTCTGGCACAAAACAAGACTGGGGTCTTGAAAATATCAAAACCTACCAGCTTCTCAGAGCAGCATGGATTCAAACTGGAGACAGTTAAGTACAAACAAAAAATATCACAGCATACAAAGGATTTGACCCCCAGCTCCCCTCGCCAGCCTTCGCGAGTACCCACCCGCGAGGGGGCTTAGTTACCCCCGGGCCAGGAGGATGCCGGCGTCCCTGCCTCCGCCGCAAGCGACGGAAGCTGTGGCTGGGACTCTGGCATGGTTCGGGCCGGAAGGGGCATTCCCATGGAGCGCCACCTCGCATGGGAGAATAACCCCGCCCCTTGTCCGGAGATGCGAACCGCCCAGCCTGCCCTGCCGCCAGCCAAAAGCTGACGGGGGCAGAGGGGAGCCAGGATGTGGCCCCCAGAACCCCTCGCCAGCCCTCGCGAGTACCCACCCGCGAGGGGGCTTAGTTACCCCCGGGCCAGGAGGATGCCGGCGTCCCTGCCTCCGCCGCAAGCGACGGAAGCTGTGGCTGGGACTCCAGCATGATTCGGGCCGGAAGGGGCGTTCCCATGGAGCGCCACCTCGCATGGGAGAGTAACCCCGCCCCTTGTCCGGAGACGCGAACTGCCCAGCCTGCCCTGCCGCCAGCCAAAAGCTGACGGGGGCAGAGGGGAGCCAGGATTTGGCCCCCAGCTCCCCTCGCCAGCCCTCGCGAGTACCCACCCGCGAGGGGGCTTAGTTACCCCCGGGCCAGGAGGATGCCGGCGTCCCTGCCTCCGCCGCAAGCGGCTGAAGCTGTGGCTGGGACTCCGGCATGGTTCGGGCCGGAAGGGGCGTTCCCATGGAGCGCCACCTCGCATGGGAGAGTAACCCCGCCCCTTGTCCGGAGACGCGAACCGCCCAGCCTGCCCTGCCGCCAGCCAAAAGCTGACGGGGGCAGAGGGGAGCCAGGATTTGACCCCCAGCTCCCCTCGCCAGCCCTCGCGAGTACCCACCCGCGAGGGGGCTTAGTTACCCCCGGGCCAGGAGGATGCCGGCGTCCCTGCCTCCACCGCAAGCGGCTGAAGCTGTGGCTGGGACTCTGGCATGGTTCGGGCCGGAAGGGGCGTTCCCATGGAGCGCCACCTCGCATGGGTGAGTAACCCCGCCCCTTGTCCGGAGACGCGAACCGCCCAGCCTGCCCTGCCGCCAGCCAAAAGCTGACGGGGGCAGAGGGGAGCCAGGATTTGGCCCCCAGCTCCCCTCGCCAGCCCTTGCGAGTACCCACCCGCGAGGGGGCATAGTTACCCCCGGGGAGGAGGATGCCGGCGTCCCTGCCTCCGCCGCAAGCGGCAGAAGCTGTGGCTGGGACTCCGGCATGGTTCGGGCCGGAAGGGGCGTTCCCATGGAGCGCCACCTCGCATGGGAGAGTAACCCCGCCCCTTGTCCGGAGACGCGAACCGCCCAGCCTGCCCTGCCGCCAGCCAAAAGCTGACGGGGGCAGAGGGGAGCCAGGATTTGACCCCCAGCTCCCCTCGCCAGCCCTTGCGAGTATCCACCCGCGAGGGGGCTTAGTTACCCCCGGGCCAGAAGGATGCCGGCGTCCCTGCCTCCGCCGCAAGCCCAAAATGCAAATTCTTAACCACATCCTCTGATTACTTCATCGACATCTCAATTTTAGCTTGTACACCACCGGCAGCTATACACCTTAAAATGATTATAGTTACCATTCAGCTATCTATTTTTCATTTTAGTGTTTAGCAGATTATGCTATTGAAGCATGCTTTTACTGAACTTGGCAAATTTTAGGGTAGCCCAAACAGGCTTATGGATCACATACTTATTTTCATTTATATACATGAAATGAGACATACAGAGATGAGGAGAGACAAAGAGGAAATTTGTCTGTCTTTTCATTCTCTCCCAAGTGGCCAAAATCGCCGGAGATTTTTCAATCCAAAGACTAGAACCAAGAACTTCTTCCTGGTCCCCATTGTGGCTGTAGTGTCCCAAGGCTTGAGGATATCCTGAACTACTTCCCCAGGCCACAAGCAGGAACCTGGAAGGCAAGTGAAACAGCAAAAGAGTGAAAGAGAATAAAGGAGAACATTACAGTACAGAATTAAAACAGGAAATACATATATTTAATATTTGATTGTGTACCTGAAGATCAGAGAAAACACTCTAAAATGAAAAAAAAAATAAAGAAACAAATCAAAAAGGAAACATTAACTTAGAAAAAATTACCAGTTTGAATGTGCTTGCTTTATCAAAACCTCATAAGAATTCACGTAAAGAGAAAAATTGAAGTCAAGAGATGTTTTAAATGTCACAATGAGCATAGAAATTGAAGCAATGCTAAATTTTTATCAGAACCATAGAAGATGTGGCTGGAGGACCCTTTCTGCTTTTAGGAAGGAATATAAGTAATGACACATGATTTCAAAATGAGAAACGACTTTAACTATACACACTTCCTGTTCTCTCTCTATAACTCTATTAATATTCACCGTGTGTGAAAGATTTCAAGAAACCCGATCTATACCACATGTTTTAGTGTATTTATTTGTTTTTTTATTGATTACATCACATTATGTGATACAGTTTTATAGGCAAGGGGATACCCTTCCCCAAACCAACACAACTAATGGTAGATTCCTTCGCCTTGTTGCATTACTACCACAGTTTAAATTCAGTTGAGATTCATTCATTGCAAGCATCTACCAAGTGTAAAGTGCTGCGTCTTATTGTGCAAATAAGTGCATTCGTTTTTTCAGGAGACCATCTCTGGTCTGAACCTAGAGGCGGCAGAATATCATCCCGGGCAATTCAAAGACCCAACATAACATCAGTAACATTTTAGAAATGTATGGAATGAGGAGACATGGTATTGAG